AAGTAAAAAGTACAAGCTGCCTAAAAATAGAGTAGATAATGGAAAAATCATGTAATTGATCTTATTCAAACCTAATTGCAACCAAAATTGCCTAATTTACCCCAAGATACAAGAAAATCTGTTCTTTTTTGGATCCTGCCCCATAACTGCAGTGTACTTCTCTCACCACTAGAGGGCAATCTCGTTTTAAAGCAGATTTCAAAGGCAAGCAGTAATGGTGTTGCAAATAAAAAATGAACGTTCACCCTAAAAGGTAGGGACCAAAAGGTCTTAAGATACGTGGAAAATCAGGAAATTCCAGACATTACTCGTGGGAGTGTAAGTTGATATTACCATTATGAAGAGAAATTTGGCAGTAATATTCAAGCTGTCACCGAGCAAAGACATGTCYAGGTCTGATCATTTGACAATGACGACAGCTGACATTTTATTCCTGCTCTGTGGCAGGCACTGTTCTAAGTGGTTGGCTCATTTAATTCTCACAACTCTAAGAATTATTATTCCCTCTTGTTATGATTTAGATTGTGTGTCCTGCAAAAGCTCACATGTGAAACAATGCAAGAAAATTGAGGTGAGATGATGGGATTAGGAAAGCTGTAACCTAATCAGATTAATGGGTGGTAACTGTGGGCAGTTGGGTGTTGGGAGGAGGTAGGTCCTGGGGGAGTGCCTTTGGGGTTTATATTTTGTCCCTAATGAGTAGAGCTCTGCTTCCTGATTGCCACATCCTGAGCTGCTTTCCTCAGTGATACCTTTCTGCTATGATGTTCTGCCTTACCTTAGGCCCAGAGCAATGGAGACAGCTGTGAACTGAGACCTCTGAAATTGTGAGCCCCAAATAAACTTTTCTTCCTCTAAATTGTTCTTGTCAGGTCAGTGAAATAGCTGACTAAAATACCCCTGAATTTACAAATGAAAAAATTAGGTCAGGAGGTCAGGTAACGTGTCCAAGGTCACAGAACTAGTAAATGGCAAAGCCATGATTCACACCCTGCTTTCCACTCTAATTGCATATGCCTTGTATGTACTGGGACACACATGCAAAGGTGTTCATATTGTCCATAGTACCAAAACATTGTCAACCTTAGAGACCATTAGTATGACAATAAAAAATGAAGAAATACTACAGAGCAGCTAAAGCCCAAGCACTAGTTCTAGAATYGGTCAACCTGGACAGATCTCAGAAAGAAATGTTGAGAGAGGTGGGTTAACCTTAGTGGTAGAAAGCTTGTTCACTATGTATAAGGCCTGGGTTTGATACCCAGCACTGTGGGGGGAGGAGTCAAGACAAACCAAGTAAAAATTTAAAAAGCATAGAAAATAGGACTATATTACTCATGGAGACCACACATATAATAAAACTATAAAAAGGATACACTGGAAAGATAYATACCAAATTTATGATGTTTGTCCCAAGGGAGAGGGAAATGGGATTAGGGAAACAAACACAAGGGCTTTATCTGTAATGTTCTATTTACTTTCTCTTTCTTTTAATCAAAAAAGAAAGACTCAAACCCTAACCCAGAACATAATTTTGATTAGTGTTTTCACAACTGCATTACTCAAACCTGAAAACTGTTAGTGTCAAGGTGACTACAAGCTTTTTGTTTAATAATGAGCATCTCCCCAAAGAGATTCTCTCAAGCTCCCTTCTATTTAAGAGGATCAGCTGGTTAGACATCCAGGAGCAGCAAATTTGTGCTTAACTTTTAGGCCTGTGGGACTAGAAGGAAGAGTCAGTTCTACCTTTTATTTAGCAAATGTTTTTCTTTAGGTATCAGCTCAAAACACCTGAAGTGCTTCTTTATATAAGTTCCCACTATTCCCTTGTTTCACGTTTCTGTGTGGGGGTAGGGAGGGAGGGTATAGGGTAGGTTTTAATAAAATGTCTAATTGTTCAGGTGGAAAGCTGCAGTGATTTAAACAAATTACCCATCTCCAGCTCATTTTAAAGTCAGCAGGCAAATTGGTTACCTAGAAACACTGACTTGTGACAAACCCTCTTCCTGTATTTACCAGGGTCAACACATATGAAAAACCAGAGGTCATATGTTGACAAGTTTTCCTGGAATTGTAATAGATATATAGGGGTTAATGTTCTCRGATTGTCATGGTCTAATGGCTCTGAGGAACAGACCATGTTTCAAGGGGGGAAAAAGCCATTCTTAYATTTTTAAATTGAAATTGTTTTTAAGTACCACTTTGAAGCTTTTGTCAGCTGCTGAATATATTAAGAAAGAGCAAAATTACATCAGAAAAGGGAATATAGTTAGTTTTGAATCTAATATTTTTTGTAAAAGTAAAAACTACAAGGTTATGTCTTGAACTTCTGTGAGAAAGCCTCCTAAAGAGCAATATTTATCTCTTTTAAAAAATGTTTTAATAATGCTTAATTAGAAAATCTCTCCTTATTGTGCAACCTCAGTTTCACTTCACAGAATTTTAATATGCTGTGTATCACTTAGGAGAAAAGGTAGTATCCAAAAATCAATAAGTTACATATTAATTCTTGAAAAATTGTGACTCAATTCAGAAATTCAGATTTGGCTTTCTCCTCCTGTCTTAGTAGTGATAACTTTAAAAAAAWWTTTTAAATACAGAAAYAGGGTCTCATTATGTTGTCCAGGCTGATCCTGAACTCCTAGGCTCAGGTGACCCTCTTGCTTCAGTCTCCTGCACCATGTCAAGGGCAATAACYTTTTTTTTAATGGTACTGAAGATAGAACCTAGGGGCACTTTATCACTGATACAGTCATGGTCCTTTTTTATTTTCAGACAGGGTCTTGCTAAGTTACTGAGATTGGCCTTGAGCTTGCAATTCTCCTGCCTCAGCCTTCTAAGTCACTGGGATTACATGTGTGTTCCACCACACCCAGGTTGTTAGCTCAACTTTTAACAGTTTCACTTGATTTTTAACTTTGAAAATTATTTGCTACAGGAATATATGCAGTATGGGAATCCATCCTCCATACTCCACATGAATACAGAAGTGTACAGAGCAAGTATAAAGGTCTCCCACAACCCTCCTCTCTCCTACCTGTACTGTATTCTCTAACAGGTGACTATGATTGAGAGCTTGCTGAGAACACCATCTTCTGTGCATTTATGTAGAACCAAGTAAGCTACTGGGTTGGTAGCAAAACTGAATTTAAAAACAAAGTCCAAACTGGGTGCACTGGCACATACCTGTAACCCTAGCAACTCAGGAGGCTGAGGCAAGAGGTTCACAAATTCAAGGCCAGCCTTAGCAACTTAATGAGAACCTGTTTCAAAAAATAAAAAGGGGATGCTGGGATTGTGGCTCAGCGGTGGAGCGCTTGCTTCCCACGTCTGAGGCACTGGGTTCGATCCTCAGCATCACATAAAAATAATAAAGATACTTAAAAAAAATAGAAATTAAACAGAAGAGAAATAGTTTAAAAAAATAAAAATAAATAAAAAGGGCTGGTGCGGTGGCACACGCCTATAATCCCACTAGCTCAGGAGGCTGAGAGAGGAGATCATCGGTTCAAAGCCAGCCTCAGCAATAACAAGGTGCTAAGCAACTCAGTGAGAACCTGTCTCTAAATAAAATACAAAATAAGGCTGGGGATATGGCTCGGTGGTCGAGTGGCCCTGAGTTCAATCTCCAGCACACACACACACACACACAAAAAAAAAAAAGAAAGTAAAAAAAGAATAAAAAGGGCTGGGGTTGTGGCTCAGTGGTAAAGAACCTTTGGGTTAAACCCAAACAAAACCCACAAAGTCCTGGGCATGTAGCTCCGTAGTACAGCACATGCCTAGCATGTACAAGGACCTGGGTTTGATCCCCAGCACCAGAGAAAGTAAATGAAATTTATAGCAGCCTATTATTTTAAGTCATCAACTGTAACTTAAATGCTACCAGACTTACTTCATAAAACAGAAGAACTTCCCCCAGGGCAATAACAGGCATTTATTTAACTTTCTCAAACCCAAGAACAACTAATTGTTCTTATTACTTATCAAACATAGAAAAAATTTAATGGATTTTGTTAGTGTTCCCATAGCTACAAAGTTCTAAATAAAATTTTTATGTACAGCATCAGCTGACTGACACCAGAAGCAGTTACTAAACACCTACAGTGACAATTTCCACATGTCTGGCTACTTCTAGGGGTTATGTGGTATGCCATACTGTCAATGAAATGGTAAGTGTGCTCCATCTTTACAGATAGCAATGTTTACTCCAGGTTAAATAATCACATGTCTATGCAGTTAGTGTTCAATATAAGTTTTTCCCCTTAAATGAAATATATAGAGAACCCCAATATATAAAAGCAAGCTTTAGGAAATTGCATTGGCAGTGGTGACTGGCTAATATATATCCTCATTCTACATACATGCTGGGGAAATTACAGGTTACAGGAATATATGCAGTATGGGGATGGGGGGAGAACACACACAAATACAGAATTGTACAGAACAAGTATAAAGGTCTCTCTCAACCTTTACACCGCTGGGGATATGCCCCTTCTCTCCCTGTGAACCCTGGGGAAATGCTTAGCACATCAAGCCTCAATGCCTTCCAATCTCAATTCAAAGACTGGGCATTGTACCAGAAACACAGAAGTTCTACAAATGTGGTTACCAATCCTAATTGCCCTCTTTTCAGGTAAATAATAAGAGGCAGCATAGTTGTATTTCACATGCCAATATCTAGCTTTTTAAATCTTAAAATTTTCTGGCTTTTTAGTAACAACATGTTTTCTTTCTTTTTAAAATATTTTTTTATAGTAGATRGACACAATACCTTTATTTTATTTTTATGTRGTGCTGAGGATTGAACTCAGTGCCTCACATGTGCTAGGCAATCACCCTACCAACTAAGATATAGCCCCAGCCCAACAACACATTTTCAACAAATTAATATTTCTTCTTGTGTTCAGGCCAACAACACATTTTCAACAAATTAATATTTCTTCTTGTGTTCATATAGGTTTTAAGATTCAGTGATATCTCCTCTTTTACAACAGTGACTAGCAATGAATCTGTCTAAACAATGAGAAAGTACTTGATATTCCTAAAAGGTATACTATCCTGTTTTCTTTCTTTTCCAGTACTGGGGATTGAACCCAGTGGTGCTCTACCACTGAGTTATACTCCCAGCCCTTATTTTTTATTTGGAAACAAGATTTTACTGTTACCCAAGCTATCCTTGAATTTGTGATTCTCCTGCCTCTGCCTCCCAAACAGAYGGGATTACAGGTCTACACCACTGTAACCAACTCTAATCTGTTTTTTGAATATGGTGGTTCTTTTTCTTTTCTGCATATTCTTCTAGCCGAAGAAGCCACTTGGTCCAGTACTGGGAACAGAGCTCTGCATCCATGAAATGTGGGTGGGCAGGGGATCCATCTTTGTAAGCTACCACAATCAGGCCACACTGAACCTAGAAAGAAACACAGGGTGATACCAGTATTTCTATATTAGGTCCAGAATTAGGTTTATTTTCTTCTTACTCCAGGGCAAATTCAATCAGTACTAAGCATAATAATTCTAATTCAGTTTCTAAGGTGGGTTGATCAAAGACTTCACCAGGACACATGGAACACAAAGATGACAGATAAAACACTAAAGAATGGTCTGTGATCATTAAATAACTATTTAAACAAATGCCCAGAATGAAAGGAAAAACAGTGATATTTAGGTGAGACAAGGATAAGAGACAGTTAGCAGTGGGATAAAAATAGGGTAAAAACCAAAACCAGTGAAGCAGCTGTAAATAAGCATTGAGCAAATAAGTGAGTAGAGGTTCAGTGCCCTAACCTGAAAACTGTAGTTGGCATCATGGTTTATGGCACCCACATATGCCACAACTTGTAGAGGGTTGTCATATGTATTTTGGATAAAAGGCTTTGGTTTCTCTGATGTCTTCCAATCAATCACACACAACTTGCCCCTGAGGAGAAACCAAAGGAAGTCTTTGTAGGTAACAGTCCAAAGTGAGAAGCTCTGTTAGGTTAACTCTTCTGWACCATTTACTACTTAGTTTACCCAATGACCACTGTTTCTATTCACCACTTTCCAAAACTAGTTTCACTTCTTTAGGATTAGAAAGGCATGATACAGCTGGGCACATGGTTCAGTGAAGAGCACTTTCCTAAGGTGCATGAGGTCTTGGCTTTGATCCTGAGCAATATAAACAAGAACCTCAGATGTGAACTACGTGGGCAAACTGAAAACAAAACAAAACAAAACAAAAACCAACTTTTCTGCAGTTTAAGTTTCTAAACTTTCTTTGTTTTTATTTATTTTTATGTGGTGCTGAGGATTGAACCCAGGGC